GCATTTTACAAGGAATTATTATTCCCATCCTTGCCCACGGTCACGCAGCCAGACAACGGCAGAGTCCCGTCTAGAACCCTGCCTTCCTGGCTTAGAGCACAGCCACTGGCCTGCGGGAGCTGGGACGCTCCGGCTAGCACAGCCGACTTGCGGGAGCTGTGTTCAGAGCCAACAGGCTACTGCTCTCTTCTGCTGCTGGCCTCTCCATTCACAAAGGATGACAGTGTGCCAGCTACCGTGTGCTTCAAGCCTTCGATAAAGCCCAGCTAACCTCCTGGGAGCCCTTGCCTCCTGCGACCGTAATGGCCCCAGATTCAGTTTGTCTAACGAAGCCCTTGTCTGATACGGGGAAGGCAGCTCGGTGCTAGTTAATGAAACCCTCTGCCAGGAGGCATTCGCCAGTGAGATGGCGTTTTATCAATGGGAGTTGCTTTTTCTTGGCTCGCAGGGCTCCAGCCGGGTAATTGGCTCCCCCGTGCAGCTCTCCTCTCCATTCTGCACACCAGCACCCGCCAGAGAGCTGGGGGAGCACATGAGAAATGCAGCTGCGCCTCACCCCGCTGCACAGGGGTATTGCATTAGGCGGCTGGGGCTGGGGGTTGAGTTGGCCGGGGAGGGAACCGGGAGCTTGGTGCAGCTGTCACTTGGGAGGGCGAGGACTAGAGCCTAAAGCCCGCTCCTGCGTGTTGTTTAGCTGCTGAGGGGGCATTATTTCCGTCGGGAGCTGAGCTGCCCTGGCCTGCCAGGGATCCTACAGCTCTGTACGTGGCAGGGCCTGCAAGGTTGCTGCGCTCCAGCTCGATTGACGGTGGAGGTGACGTGGGGGTGCACCGAAACATCAGCTCTAGGCATCGCCATCTGCACTGTCTGCCCATCCACTTTCCTGGCACGTGTGCTGGGTAACCAAAGGGTGAGACGTGGGCATGTCTGAGGAGCTGGATTCATACAACTGAGGGGCTCATCTCTCCGTGAGAGCCTGGCTTGCCACGTGTGGATCTGTCCCCCTCTAGGGGCTGGCTAAAGCAACTATAACAGGCCACAACCTAACGTGGACGAGTTACTTTCTCTCCAGTGAAGAGGGGTCGTGATACCGAGGCTGAATGTCCAGGTCTGATTCCTCCTCTCTGCATGCAAGCGGCCCTAAGTTTGTCACATACACAGAGAGCGAGTGACCGAGCTGGGAAGAGATCCCAGGAGTCCTGACTCCCAGTCCCCTGTTCTAACCACTAGATCACACTACCTTCCAGGACCAGGAGAAGAACCCAGGAGTCCTGCCTACCACGGTTGCAGCTACCAGCCCGCGCCCTTTCACTCCGCGGTTGTGGCTGGCACACAAGTTGCTTGGCCATGTGTATTATAACCACGCAGCCCCAATGTGCGGCACAGACAGGACATTTGTGATCAGAAAAGCAGCGTAGCCTGGGCGTGGACTTCCCCCAGCTCTGAATATGTGGCTCAATCTGATCCCTCCCTCCCATGGCGAGACAAGGAAGTTCGGGGCATCCTTGGCTGAGACTTCTGAAGCTGTGGATGTTTCACTGGGAACAGACCTGGCTGGAGCGGAGCTCGGGCGAGCTGAGAAGTGGGAGGACAGGGGTTTCTTCAAGGTCAGTCTTAATTGAGCTACCAGAGAGGTCACTTCCCGTGGCTGGTGATGCAGGTGGAGTGGGGTCGCTTGGCTTTCCAGGCCTCCCGTGGCTCCCTTTGGTTGGGAAGCAATCTGCAGATCGGGGTGTGTTTACTTCAGCCACCCTGGCCCTGCCCCTGTCTCCTCTGGGAGCAGGTCCAGATGCACATGGCCCTGCTTTAGTGACTCATGCGGGTGGCCCCATGTGTGACCACCCACGTGCCCCTTCCTGGGGCCAGCTCTGTAAGGAGGGGGGGGATTGTGGGTGAGGCCCAGATTTGGGAGTCAGGTTTCTATTCCTGGCTCTGCCAGGGACCTGCAGGGTGGCACTGGACAAGCGGCTGCCCTTCTCCGTGACATTTCCCCTCCTGCACAACGGGGGTGATAACACGGACACGCCGCAGAGGCTGAGGGGAGGTTGAATCCATGGGCAGGTGTCAAGCGCTTTGAGACCCTTGGATGGATGTTGCTGCAGAGGGACAAAGTATTGTTGAGGAGCCAGCTCAGAGACCCCACTGGCCGTCCCTCATCTGCATTAAACTAGAGCTGGAGCCCGCAGGAGAATCTCTTATCCACGTCCCCCGCTGCTTCCCGGGTGCTTTTGAACCTGCACCCTGGTTTTTGGTTCTGCAAAGCCCCAGCGTTGCCATCTCATGCCTCTGTCAGACTCGCCTGCGGGCATGTTGCTGGTTCCCTCCCTTCCCCCTCAGCTGAGGTTGGTTCCCTCCAGGCTCGGAACGGTGCCGGTGAATCGTCTTCTGCTGGATGAGCCAGTCGTGCACTAAGTGGCATCGCCAGACCCTTAGGAAGCACATAGGAATTAGGGGGGGAGGGATAGCTCAGTGGTTTGAGCATTGGCCTGCTAAACCCAGGGTTGTGAGTTCAATCCTTGAGGGGACCATTTAGGGAGCTGGGGGAAAAAATCAGTCTGGGGATTGGTACTGCTTTGAGCAGGGGGTTGGACTAGATGAGCTCCTGAGGTCCCTTCCAAGCCTGATATTCTATGATCCTATGTTGTAGGAGCAACCTCTGGAGGCTAGAGGAGAGAGAGAACTCTCCCCTGTCTCTGATCAGTCTTGTTTCCTGGTCTCTGAGCAGTGGAAGCATTGCACAGCTCTGTCGCACTACAGTGCCCGGCAGCCACGGGGGCTTGTACGAGTGCTGAGCTGACAGGCACTCGGCAAAGGCTGGGGCCATTGGCAGCTTCTGCCTCCACCCCGATTTGCGATGGGCTGGCTTAGTCCTGTGTCGTTTCTGGTATATGAGCCACAGCCGGATCCTACCTGGGGCTGGGGGAGAGGAGCTAACAGAGCCCCAGGTAGTCGGGGAAAGGACTCGAAGCTGGCCTTTGCCGCCTCACAGCTTTCACCTGCTTGGCTGTTGCTGAACATGGAAGGTGCGTCCCTGTATAGCGTGCAGCTGCCCTGCCGCATCAGAGGCCCCCAGATCCAATGCGTCTGCCGGGGCTGCAGCACATTTCTGGTAGGACCGAGCCAACCACACCTGCGGGGTTTGTGCATGTCCCAGGTGTGTGCCATGCCGGTGCCCTGGTGCCAGAGCAGTGCTCCTAGGGAGAGACGTGCTTGTGCGACATCCAACATATTGTTCTGCGGGCCTGCTGGTTCCTGCTTACCCACGGGGGTAGACATCTGTCACCCGTTGATAGGAGATTCCTGTTACATGGGGGGACCTCCCCAGCCCACAGTAGAGTCCGTTAAGGGAAGAACGTGATGTAAGAAAATCTCTGCTCCGCCGCAAACTGTAGCAACTAAAGACAGGACAAGGCACTTCTTTGAAATAGATCCTGGCTTAGCTACAGCGGTAACGTGGTGGAGAGAATAGATTCCCACCCCCACAAAGCACACAGCCATCGAAACCCCGGGACCCACTGAAGGGATTGAGCTATTATTTGTTTAACAGAAGCACGTCGAGCCCCATTGTGCAAGGTGCTGCATAGACACACAGCAGGAGCCAGTCCCTGCTCTAAGGCAGGGGTTCTTCACCTTTTCTCTCTGAGGTCCCCCAACATGCTATAAAAACTCCACGGCCCACTTGTGCCAGAACAACTGTTTTTCTGCATATAAAAGCCAGGGCCAGCATTCGGGGTAGCAAGCAGGGCAATTGCCCAGGGCCCCACGCCACAGGGGCCCCCCGAAAGCTTAATTGCTCAGGCTTCGGCATCAGCCACGTGGCAGGGCTCGGGGTCCTGGCCTTCAGCCCCATAGGGCAGGGTGTCATCTTTCTGCCCTGGGCCCCAGCAAGTCTAATGCTGGCCCTGCTTGGCGGATTCCCCTGGGCCCCGGACCCCTGGTTGAGAACCACCGCCCTAAAGAGTTTGCAATCTAAACAGACTAGGCAGGCAAAGGCAAACTGATTTGCCCAAGGTCGCACAGTAGATCAGTGGCAGACCCAAGAGTAGACCCGAGGTCTCCTGAGACCTGATCAGCTGGAACAAGCAGCTTCTTAGGGCAGTTGGTTGAATGCAGACATTCTCTGGGTGCTAGCTGAAGCCCCGAGGAGCTGAATGAGTGAAATGAATTGGTTGCTCTGGCTAAAGGAATTCCTGGCACCGCTTAGATGAATAACTAAGAGCCTGTTCCTGGTCCCATTGAAGTCCACAGCAAACCCCCTACTGAGTGCGTGGCTGCGGGACCGAGCCCTGGCAGAACAATAGCATCAATTTGTGCAAGTGAGCACGTGTAACAAGCCTGCGCAGCGTTCTAGGGCACCCTGATCGGCTTGGCTCTTTCCCAGCTGGAGGGTGCAAAAAGGGAAAGGTCACGGTGGGGGTTAGTGTTTTCACAAGCATTTGCACCTAAGTTCAGGCAGATCTTGGCTGACACTAAGGAGGTTAAAAGGGACCTCACCCTGCTTCTAGAAATCCAGTCTCCCTAGTCATCCCCTGTGCAGCAACAATCACGGCTTGTTTATTATCATAACTAACGCAATTTGCTGTCAGTCTAGAGCAGGGAACAGTAAATCCCGACTCCCGGGTTCTAGTCCCGACCCTGCTACTAACCTGCTATGCAGCCTTGGGCAAGTTGCTTCATCTTTCCCTTTCTGTCCAATAGGGCTCATGAAACTCACCTGCCTTTTCGGAAGCTTTATGACTTGCGTTAAAGTGACCAGAAACCAAGTGTGAAAAATCGGGACGGGGGTGGGGGGTAATAGGAGCCCATATTAAAAAAAAAGCTCCAAATATCAGGATTGTCCCTGGTCACCTTACTTGCGCGATGAATGTGTAAAGTGCTTTGAGATCCTCTGGTAGAAACGGCCACTGAATATGAGAGGGTGCAATGCGATGGCTCCTAACTGAAGAGTTCCTCTGTGCTCCGCTTTGCCCCATCGGTCGCCTCATGCGCGGAGTGAGACCATGGCGTGTCGCGAAGTGCGGGCCCTCACGTGCCAGGAAGCGGGGAAGCTCAGAGCCACTCCCGGTGTCTGGTTTGCCGTGGCGCTGGTGCAGGACAGCCCGCTCTGTAACCAGGACCAGCGATCAGAGCAGGCAGCCCAGTACCGTGGGGGGTGGGCTTTCACAGCATGCTGGGCGGGAGATAATGAACCAGCGAGTCCGCCTGCTATGAATTTCACAGCTGCGTCCAGGAACAGAGCCAGGCTATGGATCTGTTTCCTAAATTGCCTTTCCAGTGTCCAGGCTGCCAGTCCAGATCTCTTCAGCCCTGGCTTTCCCCTGGAGCGGGCCTCTGCGGCCATGCCAGTGGCCTGCTCACGCTGGCGCCGGGGCGGGAAATGCCAGGGAGCCGATGCAGGCTGACACGCTTGGCTGTGGATCCTGGCTGGGTTAGCTAAGTGGTTTCGCTGGAAGGGCTGGTCATTCCGCCGCCCCTTGCAGATGGCTCTTGTGGGGTATCTCTTGTTAGCTACAGACACCGAGAGACCAAAGCGCCATCCCCAGGAGCTCAGTGCTGTCCCCTGGGACCCATGGGCTGGGGAATTGACTTTGGGGGGGATTTGTGTCTTGCCAAGTGGTCTGCACAATGAGCCACGGGGACTCCCTGCCTTCCCCCGGCACATGGGGGGCTGTCCCATACCACGCACACCAGTGCAGGTGCTCACAGGCTTCGTTATAGGGCCGGCCACATCTTAACACAGAGAGTGTCTCCTTGACGCCTCCCCACCTCTCGCCTGGCCCCCAGTTCCCTGATCCCCTCTCCACCCGGCCTCCTGCCCCCGCCTCCCCCGGCCTCCCACCTTCCCTCCTTTCCATAGTCACATACCTCTGGGGCAGCGACAGCAAGCGCTGACATGGCAAGTAACAGGCGGGACGTGCCTGACGTATTTTTAGCTTCCTTGACTGCGGCGTAGCAGCTGGAAAGAGGAAGGAACCCGCGCCGTGAGGTCAGCTGGCTCCGCGCCCCCCATTGTCCACTGCCCACAAGTGCAGAACATCTGCTCTCGAGCTTTGTCCAGGCTGGTTTCCAGGGTCTCCCCGCCGCCTGCCTGCTAGTCGCGGTCACTGCTCTAACGTGCGATGAAACAGCCTCCGAGGCAGTGTGGGTGAGAGCCACTGACTGGCCGGCTGGGATACTGATCCCCCGACATCTGACTCATGGGTGTTTGCCTGAAAGGGTTGGGAGAGCGGGGGGGTGTGTTTTGGCATCAAACCCTCCCCACTCCCTGGGCTCTTGGGGGATGTTTTATTCATGGTGAGTTGGCGCTTGCACCTGTTGGGAACTCCCATGGGAGAGGGGCTGGGGGGAGCTGCTGACTGTTTCTCGCTCCCTCTCCCAGGGAAGCCGGCAGCGTTTGCAGAATGCAGGCCGTGAGGATGCGAAGTGGAGAGAGGATTGAGAACAGAGCAGGGAATTTGGTTTCTTGAACGGATTCTTTTTGTGGCACAGAGATGCTGGGGGGGGTCTAGTTCCAGACAAGCACAGAGCAAGGGAGGGGGGCTCTTGCTCCATCCTTTGGTGTCATGCTGTGAGCACCTGGAGTGTGTCAGGATTCATGTGTGTGTGTGTGTGTGGGGGGGGGGTAATGAAAACGCTTTGTCCTTCCATCCAAAGATCTCAAAGCACCCTGTAAACATCAATGAACTGAGTCCTGCAACCAGCAAGCCCCCCCTCCCTGAGCTCCATCCCTATTATCCCGTCACAGCTGGGGAAACTGAGGCACTGATCATCAGAGGTGTTGAGCATCCACCGCCCATTGACTTTGGCTGAAGCGGAGGGTGCGTGTTTCTTCCGGAAATCAGGCCCTAAGGGATTTGCCCCAGCTCACGTAGCAAATCAGTGGGAGAGCCCAGGAGTCCTGACTCGTGTTTCCATGAGCAGCACTGCCTCCCTGGTAGGGACTGAGGCTTCAAATGTCGCTGGCCTGCCTTCCAACCGCTGTGCGTGGGCTGTCAATCTCTTTGGGACAGGCGAACAGGCTCCTCCCACACCGAGAACCCCTGTTCAGCTGCTGTCTAGCCCTATAGGCACCTAAATTCCTACTGTCCTCAGGAAACTACACTAGTTCTCTAGAATTGCAGAGAAGGTAAATGACTTGCTACTGCACCCAGTTGTGTCTGCTTTCCTTTAGTCCAAGGGGTAGATGTTCCATGGACCATGTGCTGGGTAATAACATGAGAGGAATCCACGCTTGGAAAACGAAATTGGCTATTTATTAGGAGAACTAATTACAGAGATATTGCAACTGCAGCCAGCATTCCAGCCATGTGCACACAGACTGGCTCCCTGGTGCGTCTTCCGTCTGGCAACCCATGCTCCTCCTTCATAAGACCCATACAGGTTGTGAGAGCAGAGACCTGAGTTGTTAGAGCTGCAGATCCCGGGTTCTAGTCCTGGCTCTGGTGTGATTCATCTAAGAATTGTGTCTGCATGCCTGGATTCATTATATGCCTGTTCACAGTGCAACCTTTTTGCCTTGTACAAAGTTGAGCATATACATAATAAAGAACAATAATTCAGAAACCAGAGCCTCCTGCTGCAAACAGTCTCCCAGTTGTTAAAATGTTGGTGTCCACCCTTCACAGCCAGTGTCTCAGCAGCCGTGCAGATTCCTAGACCAAGCAGTGCTGCTGTCAATCGCTGGGAAATAAGCTGCCGTTGGTAAAGCACCTGGGTGTGCATTGTTCTTAATTCTTCTTTCTTTCCGAGAGACTTTGGGCAGCTGAGAAGGGGTTGTCACTAGGGAAATACGGGCTGTTCTGGAGTCTGTCCAAGCCTGCCATTGATCCTAAAAGCAACACGCTGCGAGGTTTGAAAGCGGCCATTATCCTTGTCCGTAGTTTCCTTGCTTGTCACAGCCTCTGCACTTCCAAGTTCCTCTGCAGGCTGGAAGCGAGACAATCTCAAACAGGCTGTTTCTGTAGCATTTTCTGCCCTAGGCACAGGGGGCAGCTCTGGACATCTCACAAGAGAGGCTGTTTCAAACCCCGCGTTGCAGATTCCAGAGGAGAGTTTGGCTGTACGGCTGGGAGGAAGGCAGGTGTGATGGCTAACAGGCTGCGCAGAATGTGATTTTTATTTTGGTATACTTTTGATGGATAATGACAATGTTTATTTTTAAGCTTTTTTAAAATTACTTTTATTGATTTTAAATGTTCATGGTTGCAGAAAATTCTGCCGGAGTGGCCAGGCGATATTTAATGACAGACGAGATTCAAAGACTTTGAGCTTTATAACTGTTAAAACACAAATACGCAACATCGCCTGTCAAAATATACAATGTAAATATCCTTAAATCAAACCGACTGTGTTCTCAAGAAGTATTTGTCTTACGTTGCCTAGCTGGGCATTTTGAGAACGATGGATGGAAATATTTGTTCCTCACTTTGTGGCTGCACGGTGAAATTAACGTTTACTGACATTTACTGATAAAAGTCTCAACCTTCCAAACCACATTTGGGAGAGGGAGCCATGACCGTGCGATTCCCAGCCATGGGTTCGATTCCCAGCTCTGCCCCACGACACACACCTGTCAGGGATGGTCTAGGACAGGGGCTCTCAACCTTTCCAGATGACTGCACCCCTTTCAGGAGGCTGATTTGTCTGGCTTACCCCCAAGTTTCACCTCACTTAAAAACTGCTTGCTTACAAAAAACAGACATAAAAATACAAAAGTGTCACAGCACATCATTACTGAACAATTGCTGACTTTCTCTTTTTTTACCGTATGATTATAAAATAAATCAATTGGAATATAAATATTGTACTTACATTGCAGTGTATAGTATATGGAGCAGTATATACAAGTCACTGTCTGTATGAAATTTTAGTTTGTACTGACTTCGCTCGTGCTCTTTATGTAGCCTGCTGTAAAACTAGGCAAATCTCTAGATGAGTTGATGGACCCATGGAAGACCTCTGTGTATCCCCAGGGGTAGGTGTACCCCTGATTGAGAACCACTGGTCTAGGTTTACTTAATCCTGCCTCTGTGTGTGGGGGGGTTGAACTAGATGACCTCTTGAGGTCCCTTCCAGCCCTACATTTCTATGATTCTATGCAATCATGTCACTGCTCGGTGCCTCAGTTTCCCCAGCTGTGAATTGGGGATAATGCCTACTCACAAGGGTGCTATAAAGAACAGCTGTAAGCACACTGAGGTCCTCAGAGGAAGGGGACGAGGATGTTCTTTTGAAGGTAGTTTTTTGGCGGTTGGCAGTGATGTTTCTAGGTGCTGATGTCACTCAAGAGGCCCACGAGGCGCCCTTGCGTTGCAACGCTGCAGCAGAACGCGGCGATGTCTTGATTCTATGGCCAAGCCGCCTCGCATCCACTGCGTCGTTCTGCACCAGCGCAGGCCCAACAGGAGTTCATCCCCTTGGATGTTCCTAGTGAGGCGGTGACCTCATGTGCCCCTTAGGAAACCCTCCCTGAGAACAACAGCAACAAATCCCACCGGTTGCAGAGCCATCTTTCATTGACTATTCCTGGCTGGTCTTTTAGCCCACTGGTTTGCAATTGCAGTGCCTGGCCTCCCAAGGGGAGGGGGGCACCGTGGCGGCACCAGGTGGCTGGTGCTGGAGGGTTTCAATCTGTCAGGCCAGCGAAATGGATCCAGGGCACAAAGACTGGTTTGCACGCGCCTTTCCTTGGTGGGGGTGGGCGGGGAGCTGGCCACGCTATGCAACGGCTCAGGAATTCCCAGAATGAGCTCTCCTTGTTTTGCTTTCCCATTCCAAGCACAAGTAGCCAGTGAGTCAATGGCTGGAGTGGCCTGGTCTGGTTCCAGTGAGCAGGGAATGAGTTTGACAAAGGGCCTGCCCATCTGGCGCTCGTTACTGGGAGGTTGGAAGGTCAAATAGATGGAATGTGACCTTATATGGAACTCTGGAGTCTCTAATAACTAAACCGCCAGGATCTTCCGCTAACCGGCCACGCCTGGGGGACAGTCACCCCTGTGCAGAGGGCCTGCACAAAGCAACTCTCGTGATTTTTCTTGCGAGTCTCGCCATAGTTGGTGTAAAAAAAAGCTCCTGCTCCAGGAGGCACGTGATTAGGTGAGCATCTCAGTGTTCATTTTAAGAAAAAAAAGTAAGGGTCTGGCTGTCAGGCTTGCAGAGAGGTGCCCGAACATGTGACCTGAGTGCACCCTGGAGACTGAGTGCACCCAGAAGCATAAAAAGAACCCCAAAGGTATTATTTTAAAAACCCAACAAATCTCATGATCTTTAAGCCAAGCTCGTGAGTTTTTGGAGCCCGATTCATTTTCTGTCAATGCTTGTGGTGAATAGTGCTGGCTCCATTGAAAGATGCAAAGAGGGAACTGGTGTCTGGGCCTTGGTCTCGGCCTCTGTGTGGGGGTGAATCTCACCCATTGACTTTTGAAGTGACTACCAGGGAAGCCTGGGAAATCTGCCTTGTGAAACTAAAGGTACCGGGAGCCGCAGCTTGGCTTGGGGCTTTGCACCTCTCCAGGGCATTTCCAGAGCAGCTTCCATCCCATGATTGTAACGTGTTTCCCCAACATTAATGAAGACTTACAACACACCGCGAAACAGGTACTCTTGTAGCACCCGGCTAGTGAGTGTATGCGCCACTGTCCTCTACTGGGTGGAAGTAGAACTTTTCTGCTATGTGCCATAAGCCCTGTACTGCTACAAGCTGATGAGGATTCTTCTTTAGTCCAACCATCAGGGGCTTGGACTTACAGAGCAGGCGGACTGAATTTTATTCCTGCAATCCCTGTGGAGTTTTAAGTGGCTGTAGCATGCAGAGAAATTCCTTGAGAGCAATCAGTGTATTACAATATTATTATATGCACGATGCAAAGGGGGAAACTGAGGCATGGAGAAGCTAAGTGGCTTGCCCTAGTCCACACGGCATGTCAATGTGCGGTGAGGTACAGAACCCAGCAGTTCCGACACCCCACCCCCTGCTCTCAACACTAGCCAGACAATCCCAGGAGCCAGTCCCATTTCCCAGCCCTATCAATGGGAGCCATTCAGAGAGGCACTGCGGGAGCCAGAGTTTTAACAAGATTGACGTATTACGCAGGCGGTTATAATCAGCTTTAATGTACTGGAAGGTCAAGGTACAGGAGAGTTTCTAGCTCCCGTACAAAGACCCTTGACCCGGTTTGGGAGAAACTGGCATTGTAATTGGACAGCCCACTCCCTTGCAGAGATCATTAACAATCCCCCCCAGTAAAACGTTCCAGACAGAGACTTTTGATTACACCCCGCAGGCAGTTGACAGTGCTCTGCCCAACGGGATGGACCGCGAACCCTCTCGCCTGGAGCTAGACTTGGCACCGTGACGGACCCCCTTCCAGGTACAGCCAGCGCCAGGAAGGGAGACAGGAGCTTGTCAGTCAATGAGCCCATTGTGGGCAAACCCCGCGGGCTGGGTCTCTGCTATGGCTGTTGGAAACCCAAATAAACTTTCCGCGTATGATTCTCGTGCGTCAGGCTGTGAAATCCGAACAGCCCTGGCCCCCAAGTGCAGAGGGAGAGTCTTTGCGTGGGGGGGCCTGGGGCGTAGATCTTTACTCAGAGGCTTTGACTCCGAATGGCGCCCAATGAGAGAGAGAGAGAGGAGAGCCCATGGTAGGTGTGCAGGGGATGCATTTGTCTGCGGGAATCCCACGTGCTGGGACAGCTGTGCGCTAGGTTTCCGTCCATCTGGAAGTTTTCTTGATGTGCTGGATGCGATTGCAGAGCCCGATCCTGCTTTCAGCTCCCCTGGTCTCCGGTAGGCGGGGAGGGTACTCGGCATCCAGAGGGATCGAGCCCTTCTTTTGGACAGGGGCTTCCAGAGTCAGGGAATTAAATAATGCAAGTTATGGCCAAAATGTCACAAATGCGGGAGAGAGCAAGGGCAGGCCGACACTCCAAACGCTGCATGGGCGCAGCGGCACGGCTGTAGCGCTTAGGTGGGAGGGAAAAGCTCGTGGTGTATTTAATCCACCTCCAGGAGAGGCAGTAGCTCTGTTGATGGGGGAAGCTCTCCCACCAACATTGCGCTGTCTACCCCGGGGGGGTTAAGGTCAGTTGCTCTACGTTGCTCAGGAGGGTGGGTTTTTTTACACCCGAGCGACAGTTTTACTGACCTAGGTCTGTAGTGTAGACCTGGCCAGAGAGAGAAACTAACAGCTGCAGGCAAGGGAGAAAGAAGGAGTTTTAGCTGAGCTGGGACAGGGAAAAAGATCCAAGGAGGCTGTGCCAAGGCGCAGGTTTGCGGAGGAGAAGGCTGTTGCACCAGCCATGGTGAGATTGCAGGGAGACGCACAGGGGAGGCTGGGGCCAGACAAGCAGATGCAGTGAGAGGAGCAGAGGGAGATTCGGTGAGAGACAGAGACCAGGTAAAAATGTACCGGCAATTGCTGACCTGGTTGCTAAGACTGCATGTGGAAATGGGGCATTTCCCTGGGCAAGTAGCTATGTAGCTGTCTGACTGCAGGGGGCGATGCCTGGTGTGCTCATGCGCTTACTGCAGTCGTGGCAGCTAGGCGTGCAGTTGCACAAACGCTTTTGCACAAGGCCCTGCGCTCTGAAAATCCAGCTCTATAAGACAATAACATGGACCCTCCCATAAGCTGTACGGCACTTTTCTGATCCTAGATGCCCTTTAAGGGTATTTTTTTTGTGGCAGACCCTTATTCTAAGCCCTACCTGTGATTGCGTCATTACCAATAAATCTGTGGCCGAGCCTGTTGGCTGATGGCAAGCGGAGACTCAAAGCATAAAACTTAGAGACGGGGAAGACCGATTAGGACATCGTCTTACCTACCTTGTCAACTGCACCCAGCACGGCTCTCCATCAAAGCGATGGATTCCTCCTCTGATCGAGTCAGTCCGAGGGAAGAGGCTCCCTCCACTTGAAGGGGATGGATCGAAAGGCCTAGGAGCGCTACTGGGACCCTTCAATAGATGGAAGAAAAGAAAAGCCTGTAATATACATCTGCGGGGTCTAGGATTCCCTAACACGTGCTGCACTCTGACCGCTGACATTGAGCTCTCCCGGCCACCTCGGAAGAGGCATTATTTTATGGACTAGCCAGGCTCTCTATCTGAGATCCCTAGGTGCTATAAACCTCCCACCAAGCCCTCCCTTCTTTCCCACCTGCGCCTGCTCCCCTGCTATCGCCTCTCCCACTCTACATCCTGTCACTTCCTTGTCCCAAGGAGCTCCCGCGGCACTGTGCCTGCTGCCCTGGAGCAGCCTTCACAGGGAAATTGACCAGCTTTGGTGAGTTTCACTTAGCACCTTCGGTTCGCCTACGCTAGCAGCAAAGAGAGAGGTGTCTGGGCTGGCCAGCTTCACTGGGCGTTTGTACAGCACCGGGGGACCTTGATCTTGGTTGGCGCCTCTGCTGTGATGTTCGTAATAATCACTGAGTTTCCCTTTGTAAGTTAATACATTGCAAAGCACATCTGCCTCCCCCCCTCAAAACTTCACATTCATTTTGCCTGTCCGGTTCTAGAGGGAGCTGTACTATTCAATCTTCTCTGCAGAGTGAAGTTCATTGGATAATACTGAGTTCCTCTTTGAAAACAGCGCAGCAGGAGGAATTTCAAAACTCCGGGACTGTGGATTATTTGTGGAGCAAGGACTGTGTCTTCCTCTGCGTTTGGAACGTGCCTGGCACATTTTAGACACTACTGAGATAAATAATGGATGATTAATAGCTTAATAACATTAATAGCGCCAGAGACAGAGGCCCAAACAGAGACCTTGGGTCACATTTTCAAAAGCGCTCAAGTGACTTAGGAGCCCAAGCCCCATTTTCAGAAGTGACTTAGGCACTTAAGAGCTTAAATCCCATTGACTTTCAAGAAGAGTTAGGATCCTAAGGGTCAATTTTGAAGATGGGGCTTATGATCCTAAATCACATAGGTACTTTGGGAAATTTTACCCCTTGTTACAAGCCCTCCCAGTGACATATGGGCACCAGCCTGCAGCTCCTAACAGTCTCCGAGGGGGTTGCGTGCATCCAGAACATGGGCTGTAGGTGAGCGGCAGTGTGGTCCAATGGGTAGGGCACTGGACATGGTCCCACGGGTCCTGGGCTTAGGGTGACCAGACGTCCCGATAAAATCGGGAGTGTCCTGATTTTGAGGAGTTTGTCCCACGTCCCGACCAGAGTACGGTCAGGACGCCATTTGTCCCGATGTTTTGTTTCCTGGTCTTTGGCGGCAATTCAGCGGAGAGCCCTTCAGTCGCGGACGGTCTTCGGCGGTATTTCGGCGGCGGGTGCTTCTGTCTTTGGCGGTAAGGTTTATTTACCCGCCGCCGAAATACCGCCAAAGACCGTCCGTGACTGAAGGGCTCTCCGCCGAATTGCCGCCGAACTCCCGGACGGGTGAGTGTGTGTTTAAAAAAAAAAAAAAAAAAAATGCCTCCCCCTGCGGCGGTCCCGATATTTTCCCCTTAACATCTGGTCACCCTACCTGGGCTCTATTTCCAGCTCATTCTGCTCCTCCTCCCACCCTTTGTCTATTGCAGTGTATTGCTCTTCAGCGTGGGGACTGTTTCTAACTCTGTGTACGTGCAGCGCCTGACACAACGGGGCGCTGATCTGAGGCGGGGCCGTTGTGTGACAATATAATGCTGCTCCTAGTAAGTTCCCTACATGACTCTCTCTCCTCTGCTTGATTCCAGGCACAGCGCTGGCGTAACGAAAACTACGAGAGGCCCGTGGACCTGGAAGGGTCAGGGGATGACGACCCCTTTGCGGATGATGAAAGTGACGACCTCTACTCGGGATCTGGCTCGGGATGTAAGTATAGAGTAAAGGCCCCTAGGGGAGGGGATCAGATAAGAGCTCCCTGGCTGAATCCTGGGAGCTCTGCCGTTGCCTTCAGTGCTCGGCCTATGAGGTGACTAGAGCATCAAGAGTGTCCTTCGTTCGGCTCCAGAGAAGAGAGTAAATTACAGCTCACCCATCCCCATGGGCACGTGCCCTCTCCCAGCCCCCAGGGCGAGGTTCCCCTGCTGACCACAGCTCTTGGGAGTTCTGTGCCTGGCCTTTGCAAACAGGCCCTGCGGCATTTGCAGGGTGCTGGCACGTGTCAGTGTTACATGGGGCTCATTGCCTTTGTGAGGCGTCAGGGTGTCTGGAGTGGCTCACGGCCGTGGGTACCAGCCGCAGGGCCGGCTGTTAGAAACCACGGCACAAACCCCAGACTGGCTGTGAGCTCCCAAGTGTCAAGTGTGAACTCCTCATGCTCTATAACAGCCTGACCCTGGAGTCACAGACAGTCCCCTTGGGCACTCTGATCTATCTTGCCACGCAGGCAAGCCTGCCTTTGTGATAGATGGTCCCTTACCCCCAAAATCACAATATTCAGCTTACTCCCAGTCCCAAAGGGCCAGGCACTTACCACAGGTCAATTGCACCTCAGATCTCAAACCAAAGACAACGTTTGTAGCCAATCCTATGAGAAACTAGCGAAAGGTTTATTGACTAACAGAAAGAAATGAGAGTTATTTACAAGGTTAAAACAGGGAAACATTCACACACAAATGAGGTTCTAAAAGCTCATCAAAGCTTGTCTAATAAGCAAGCTCTGTTTGTCCCTTAGGGCTAACCCAGTCCCTTAGGGCTAACCCAAGGATCTTTTGCTTATGCTTAGACATTCTTGCCCCTCAGAGTCCAAGCAGCGTAAGATGCAGTTCCTTCCCATCAGGGATTTTTATTCCCTTCCCCCAGAGTCCACGCTGATGGGACGAGCCCACTCCCACGCCTCATCTCCATGGGATGGGGTGAGCCATCAACCAAGTCTTTTCTCCTCTGACTCATTTGGTTCCCATGGGCCTTCTTGTGGGCAAGACCTGACACCTTCTCTGTAAACTAGTATTTCACACTCGGTAACGCTTCTCTCCTGGCTGAGGGGTTTCTGGTTTCAGGGCAAACATTTTTATAGTTCTAAAGCAAACACTTAAATATTACCTTAGAGCCTGGGATACCGATCTGATCAGTGAGATTAATGCAGGTAGCAACTTCTAAGCATTTCTTAAAGTCCAAACACTAGGCACATCTCTAAAAGCTAATCCCTGTTTTAGCAATAGTAACACACAGGTGGGCCGAACTGGTGGCCCGCTCTGCATTTGGCAGTGTTCAGCGAGGCCTACGGGCCTTGGCACAAGCTGGCACCTGGTCTGCCAGTGTCACAGTGTGCACCCTTCTCCTCTCTATAGCTGGCACACAGATCCCCTTAACTACTGCTGTAGGGCAGTCAGCCCCAAGCCCTGGGCATGCTGGACACCCCGATCCCAGTTCTGGGGCTCGTGACTTCTCGGGGAAATCCCTGGTTGCTTCTCACAGGGCCGTGACTCTGCCCAGGCAGCAGCATGTTCACAGCCTCGCTTTTGCCTCCGTTGTAGATTTTGAGCAGGAGTCTGGGATCGAGACGGCGGTGAGGCTCCGCACGGACACGCTCCCCACCACCCCGGCCGTGCTGCCCGTCACATCCGTGCAGCCCGTGGCAACTCCCTTTGAAATGCTGCCTGCAGAGGAAACCACCCCTGAGCAGGCGACCAGCGTCCTGTACATCCCCAGGGTGACAGAGGCACCGGCGATTCCCAGCTGGAAAGCAACTACCACCAGTGCCACGGCCAGTGACACCCCGCCACCCGCAACAGCAGCTGCTGCCGCCAGCCCCACCGCTCCCACTGCCAAGCCAACAACCGTCCGGAGGATCCTGCCTCCCTTCGTCACGACGACGGCCACAACGCGGGCCACCACCCTGGAAATGCCGACCGCAGCTGTGACGGAAGCCAGCACGGTCACGGAGGCTGCCACGTCCCGGCTCGTCACCCCCAGCACTGCCAGGCCCAGAGCCGGCCCGAAGTCGAGCACCTCCAGGACCGTGGTCGTCACAGAGAAAAGCACTGTCTTGCTGCCGCCGGCTGCTACCTTGGCCCCCACGGACGCACCCCAGGTATGGGACAAGGGCATATCTACCCCGGGTCACTGAAGGGGTGAAACCCTCTGCCCCGCCTCCAGGCTTGAGAGCCCAGGCTCTGGCCTGAGCTGCAGCGTCACAGCAATGTCCACACAGCTCTGAGCACTGCGCAAGCGAGAGGGTGGGGGGGGGGGGGGAAAGCCCGGGTCTACATAGGAATGGAGGAACGGCCAGACTGGGTCAGAGCAAAGGTTCATCTAGCCCAGTATCCTGTCTTCTGACAGTGGCCAATGCCAGGTGTCCCAGAGGGAATGAACAGAACAGGGAATCAAGTCATCCATCCCCTGTCGCCCATTCCCAGCTTCTGGCAAACAGAGGCTAGGGACACCATCCCTGCCCATCCTGGCTAACAGCCATTGATAGACCTACCCTCCATGAATTCTTTTTTTTGGAGTCATTTCCTGCCAGACAGAGGAGGGCACATCAGAGGGAGCTCCAAGAAGAGCAACAAAAACAACCGGGGAGGTGTAAGGATCAGAACGTAGGACGCGAAAGACCCCTGAGTGGAGATAGGCTAAGCAACGGCCTCGGAGGGGATGGGGGGGCGTAGCGCTCTGTGGGTATCTGGTTGTGCAGGAAATGAGGAGGGGGAGAACGGGTTAGGACAGCACAGGAGGGTACAGCTGGCCAATGGGGTGGGACCGTGCAGCACAGATCGGTAAGCGGGTGACTTCCTGAGACAGATCCGCTGCATAGTGTCCTCACTGCTCGAGTCCTTTGAATCACACCCCTAGTTAGACTGGTCCAATTTTCAAGTGTAGACTCCGTCCGTGCTCCGTGCTAGTGACATGCTGGGAGGCGGCACGTGGCCCTTTGCCGGACATAATGCCCGAAGCCATGTCACTCGCAGTCAGCAGGGTGGTCAGGACAAGGGGTTCCAGCCCAGAGCTCTGATCACAAATCCAAGGGGACCTTGTGGGAAAATGGGGGGGTGGGGGCCTGGTCTACACACACTGTTTGCACTGGTATAACTCTGTTGGGTAGGGGATGATTACTGACATAGCTACATTGGTACAACCCAAGTATGGCCACAGGTGTGTTAGTATAGTGGTGCCTTATGGAGGTATAGCCTCTGGCTGTCAGAGGTTTAGGGACACCCAGAGGTGTGGTGACCATCTTGGCTATTGATGGACCTGTCCTCCAGGAACTTATCTAATTCTTTTTCATATCCAGTTCTACTTTTGGCCTTCACAACATCCCCTGGCAATGAGTTCCACAGGCTGATTGTGCGTTGTGTGAGGAAGTACTTCCTTATGTTTGTTTTAATCCTGCTGCCTATTAACTTCTTTGGGTCATTGTGTTATGTGAAGGGGTAAATTAACACTTCCTTATTCACTTTCTCCACACCAGTCAGGATTTTATAGACCTCGATCATATCCCCCCACCCCATAGCTGTCTCCTTCGGAACCTGAACAGTCCTTTTAACCTCTCCTCCTATGGAAGCTGTTCCGTACTCCAAAATCAGCTTTGTTGTCCTTCTCTGTACTTTTTCCAATTCTAATTAGGGCTGTCAAGCGATGAAAAAAATTAATCATGTGATTAAAAAAGTTAAACAATAATAGAATACCATTTATTTAAATATTTTTGGATGTTCCCCACATTTTCAAATACACTGATTTCAATTACAACTCTGAATACAAAGTGTAGAGTGCTCCTTTTATATTTATTTTTTATTACAAATATTTGCACCGTAAAAAACCAAAGAAACAGTATTTTTCAATTCACCTAATACAAGTACTGTAGTGCAATCTCTTTATCATGAAAGTTGAACTTACAAATGTAGAATTATGTACAAAAAAACCTGCATTAAAAAATAAAACAATGTAAAACTTAAGCGTCTATAAGTCCACTCAGTCCTACTTCAGCCAATCGTTCAGACAAGCAAGTTTGGTTACAATTTGCAGGAGATAATGCTGCCTGCTTCTTGTATACGTAACCTGAAAGTGAGACCAGACGATCGCATTCACTGTTGTAGCTGGCGTCACAAGTTATTTACGTGCCAGATGCGCTAAAGATTCATATGTCCCTTCATGCTTCAAGCACCATTCCAGAGGACATGCGTCCATGCTGATGACGGGTTTGCTCGATAACAGTCCAAAGCAGAGCAAACCAACACATGTTCATTTTCATCCTCTGAGTCAGATGCCACCAGCAGAAGAGGTTGATTTTCTTTTTTGGTGGTTCGGGTTCTGTAGTTTCTGCATCTGAGAATTGCTCTTTTAAGACTTCTGAAAGCATGCTCCACACCTCGTCCCTCTCAGATTTTGGACAGCCTTCACATTCTTAAATCTTGGGTCAAGTGCTGTAGCTATCTTTAGAAATCTCACATTGGTACCTTCTTTGCGTTTTGTCAAATCTGCTGTGAAAGTGTTCTTAAAATGAACAAGTACATAAAAGGTTGTTACAAGGAGGAGGGAGAAATTTTTTTCTTCTTAACCACTGAGGATAGGACAAGAAGCAATGGACTTAAATTGCAGCAAGGGAGGTTTAGGTTGCACGCCAGGAAAAGCTTCCTAACTGTCAGAGTGGTTAAGCAGTGGAATAAATTGTCTAGGGAGGTTGTGGAATCTCCATCTTTGGAGATTTTTAAGAGCAGGTTAGACAAATACCTGTCAAGGATGATCTAGATAATTCTTAGTCCTGCCATGAGTGCAGGGGACTGGACTGGATGACCTCTAGAAGTCCCTTCCAGTCCTATGATTGTATGATTCTATGTACTGGGTCATCATCTGACACTGCTAGAACATGAAGCATATGGCAGAATGCAGGTAAAACAGAGCAGGGGACATACAATTCTCCCCCAAGGAGTTCAGACACAAATTTAATTAACGCATTATTTTTTTAACGAGCATCATCAGCATGGAAGCATGTCCTCTGGAACGGTGGCCGAAGCATGAAAGGGCATATGAATGTTTAGCATATCTGGCATGTAAATACCTTGCAATGCCAGCTACAAAAGTGCCATGAGAACACCTGTTCTCATTTTCAGGTGATATTGTAAATAAGAAACAGGCAGGATTATCTCCCGTAAATGTAAACAAACTTGTTTGTCTGAGTGATTGGCTCAACAAGAAGTAGGACTGAGTGGACTTGTAGGCGCTAAAGTTTTACGTTGTTTTGTTTTTGAGTGCAGATATGTAACAAAAAAAAAATCTACATTTGTAAGTGACACTTTCACAATAAAGAGATTGCACTACAGTACTTGTATGAGGTGAATTGAAAAATACTATTTTTTTTCTTTCTTTTTATAGTGCAAATATTTGTAATAAAAAATAATAAAATCAAGTGAACACTGTATACTTTGTATTCTGTGTTGTAATTGAAATCAATATATTTGAAAATGTAGAAAAACATCCAAAAATATTTAATAAATTTCAATTGGTATTCTATTATTTAACAGTGCAATTAATTGCGATTAATTTTTTTAATTGCTTTAATTTTTTTGAGTTAATTGCGTGAGTTAACTGTGATTAATCAACGGCCTTAATTCTAATATATCTTTTTTGAGATGAGGCGACCAGAACTGCATGCAGTGTTCAAGATGTGGGCGTACCATGCATTTGTATAGAGGCATTATGATTTTTACTGTCTTATTATCTATCTCTTTCCTAATGGTTCCTAACCTTCTGTTCGCTTTTTTGACCGCCGCTGCACATTGAGTGGATGTTTTCAGGGAACTATCCACAATGACTCCAAGATCTCTTTCTTGAGTGGTCACAGCTAATTTAGACCCCATCATTTTGTATGTATAGTTGGGATTATGTTTTCCAATGTGCATTACTTTGCATTTATTAACATTGAATTTCATCTGCTATTTTGTTGCCCAGTCACCCAGTTTTGGGAGATCCTTTTGTAGCTCTTCGCAGTCTGCTTTGGACTTAACTATCTTGAGTAACTGGACAAAACACAGTGCTATTTCCTGATGTATCAGTGTCCATTGGACAAACTCTCCAGAGTGGCAGCCTTATATTATTACTTATGTTCTGGTAGCTCCTAAAGGCCCCAGCTGAGATCAGGGCCCCATCCCGCTAGGCACTGTCCAGACACACTGAGGGATATCTACACTGCAGCCGGGAGCTAGCCGTAAACTGCCCATGAACTTCGTCAGAGAGGGACCTCCCCAGATGCTCAGACGTGTGATATACGGGAAATACAGCCGCAAACGAGCTCTGTACTTGAGCTCAGGTTTTACAGCAGCCCATAAACAGCCGAGGGAAACCACGCCAGTGCTGCAGCAAGTGTGAATGGGGGCCCCCAATAAATGGCTCCACACCTCGATGCGGCGCGTATGGAGCGCGACCTGCGGAGCTCACAGCCCCAGCAGGACGCTGAGGCGTGACTGCGGCCCCTGGCTCAAAGCTAGCCCTAGCAGCGATAGCAGTGAAGAGGCAGCTATGTACCCGAGACCCTGGGCAGGAGGGGCTAGCCCAGGTAGCCAGCCGTGCTGCGGTGGCTTCGCAGCTGTTGTTACTTGAGCTAGCTGGATCAAACCTAGCTCAGGTATGTCTACACCTAGTGCAGTCGCACTCCCCATGGCAGTGTAGACACACCTCTTAGTGAGGGCTGCTCTCTGCCCCAAAGAGCTTACAATCTAACAAGACAAAGAGTGGGAGGGTGACCAGAGGCATCAAGAAATGATGTGACTTGCCCCCAGGTCTCCTGGGCTCCTAGCCACATGCCCTGTCTGCTAGACGATGCTGCTCCCCATGCAAAGGGATGGAAAAATCCATGTCCCTGCACAGCTCCAGCATGGGTCTCGTGTGGTTTGCAGGTGGCGATGGATGCATTTCCCTGCGACTTTTACAAGTTCCTCATGCCGTCTCCTGCTCCCTCCCTGGCCAGTCAGAGCCCCACTGCTCTACAGTTATGCATTTGTGTAGCATTTCCTGCCCCTTGGGTCGCGCGGGCAGTGGGTTTAATCCGCTGATCTCTCGGATCCAAAGGCCTGAAGCGTCTGCTTCAAAGAAGCAGTGACTGAGACGCGGAGTTACTTGTCTAAATGAGTTCCCCTTTCTCTGTGTCGCTCCGGGCTCCCTCCGGCCGTCAGTTAATCTGTCACAAAAGGAGGCAGACTCACTCCCCGGGAGCCAGCGAGCCCAGGGGCTTGTTTTAAAGGCAGTGGTGCAAAGGAGAGGACTCACTGCTCCTGCCAGCCTCATCTAGCCGGAGAAGCAGCTGCGCTGCTCGGCAGGCCTGGAGACTGACTGTGGCGTGGCAGGTCCTGATAGTGAACACAGGGATCGCGGTGACTGGGGAGCCAGGCATCGCTCCTGAGGGGCTGGGGAGGGGAGGGGGACTGGCTCTGTAACAGCTCAGTTAATGGAACTTCAGCAGGATCGGGCCCGTGGGGGGCCAGCGGGTAGGTTGGCCCGTGGGGATCGGGCCCGCGGGGGGCTGGCGGGTAGGTTGGCCTGCGGGGATCGGGCCCGCAGGGGGCCAGCGGGTAGGTTGGCCTGCAGATGGAAAGCAAAACCGGCCCAGATGCAGAGTCTGGCTCCAGCTGGGAGCTGCCCTGTAGCTGAGGGATGTTGGGGTCAGGTGTGCGACAGGGTGTTGGGGCCACAACGCCATCCCCAGCAAAGTCGAGCTTGTGACTCCAGCTCAGCTGTCAGTAGCTCCGGGGCCAGGCTCTAAGAGTGGCTGAAGGGAGACAGGGAAGAGGCCCCTTGGCTCCCCTCGGGGCAGAGCACAGGATTGGACCCAGGCTGGGGAGCTCTCTGGTGCCCTCAAACTCTTGAATTTTGTTGTGACAGACGCTAGCCCGTGAGGACAGACCCTCCTGACGATGACTGTTCGTTGGGCTCACTCAGCCCCGCAGTTCTCAGGACCCTGCCCCCAGCACCAGGGCAGAATCAGGGGCACTTACTGACCCCACCAGGGAAAACCACCAGGAGTGGATCCAAAACCACACCTGCCTCTCTGCCTTTGGAGTCTATCTCGGCAGGCTCTGGAGCGTGTGAAGTCCAAGGGCCAAACCCACTGCTGGAGCTGAGCAAATCATGGACTTCTCAGTTCAATGGCCTAAACCAAAAAATCATTTTGAGTAGAACGAAACATTTTGTTCCATTTCATTCGATTTGAAATTTAGGTTTATTTTATTTTTTGTTTTTTCCATTTCCTCTGTGGGTGTCCCCCCTTCCCCTTTTGTTGTTGTTGGTTTGTTTTTAAATAGAACTAGCTCAATTTTGAAACAAACCGTTTTCTCATGCACCAGCTGTGGCAGGCAGCAGAGAAGACGCAGTTTGCCCCAGGCCCTGCGCCATGCACGCAGCGGGGAGGAGGTGACCCGAGTAATAAATAGAGCCAGTCTGAATTATTAAACTGCAACATTTTCCCACTAGAAAATGCAGTTTTATCAAAAATGGGGGGGAAAAAAGCAAAATGGCATTTTCAACAACATTTTTGGATGGGAAATTCCAGACAGAAACAAAACTTTTTGTTACATTTGGTCGCAAATTGAAAATTTTGCTTTGGTGTTTGAGAAATGTTCAAAATGTTGAAATTTCGATTTTGGGATTTTCCCCGACACATGGCTAGAGGTATTCCTCACCCCTCCCCTTTTTAGACACTGCAGCTTTTCAAACGTCTCCATTTTTGAATGAGTTTCAGCGCAGGAACGTTTCAGCATTTTTTCCCCTTTTGCCACTCAGTTGCTCTTGCAAGTTGGAGAGGTTGTGAAAAATTACAGGGGGCAACAAGAATTAAAATAAGAAACCCAAGACCTAAATCATTGCGTTGTACTCAATGGCAACAAGGAAAAAATTGGAGTGTTTCAGAAAAATATTTTGTGAAAAATGGCTGATTTCAAACCCCATGAAATGGAAACACTTTTGGATCTTTTTGCACCAAATTGTCTTTCCGTTTTTCGATCAGCTCTTGGCCAGAAAGTCAAGCGATGATAAATGCTAGTGCTCCGGAGAAGCTGGGATCCAAGATTTCAGTTTGGTCCATTATGAAGACGAGCTGTTTGCAAGGTTCAGGTCCAGATCGAGGCTGGGATTCTGAGCAGCTCTAAACCGCTTGGGGGTATGGAGGAGGGGAGGAGGCGAGGTTTGGGTCAGGCTAATCTGGTTTTAAAGGCTGGGTGCTTATTGGTGTAAGCCAAGATAGAATCCTAGAACTGGAGGGACCTCAAGTCCAGTCCTCTGCACTCAAGACAGGACTAAGTATTATCTAGACCATCCCTGACAAATGTTAGAATCATAAAATATCAGGGTTGGAAGGGACCTCAGGAGGTCATCTAGTCCAACCCCCTGCTCAAAGCAGGACCAATCCCCAGGCAGATTTTTGCCCCAGATCCCTAAGTGGCCCCCTCAAGGATTGAATTCACAACCCTGGGTTTCAGCAGGCCAATACTCAAACCACTGAGCTATCCCTCCCCCAACCTGTTCTTAAAAATCCCCAAAGACGGGGATGTCTAATGCTCCTTGTGACCTGGCGGGACATTTCAAGGAAGCTGTAAGATGGGCTGGACTGACCCCAGCCCGCCCGACTCACCTGCCCCCAGGTGGTGCCACACTGCAATAGTTGCCTCAGGTCCCAAAGTCTCTCTCGCTGCATCGGACGGGGGCAGGAATGGAGCTGGGGAGATCTGGCAGGGGAAAGGCAGAGTGAAGCTCAAAGCCGTTCCTCCTCACGGTTTGTCCTCCAAGCCTTTGGATGACTGACTCTCTCTCCTCCTCCGTCTCGTTCCCTTCCTCAGACTGAGCCGCTGGACGTGACCGTGTCCACGGCCCTCGACAACGAGCTGGAGGTTCCTGTCAGCGGAGGGCCCAGCGGGGACTTCGAAATCCGTGAGGAGGAAGACACGACTCAGCCGGAGCTCAATAACGAAGTGATCGCCGCGGTTACCCCGGCAGCAGGGCCGGGGCTGGGGAAGAATGCAGAGCCCGGCCTCATAGACAATACGATAGACTCTGGGAACTCGGCTGCCCAGCTCCCCCAGAAAAACATCCTGGAGAGGAAAGAAGTGCTAATAGGTGAGGCCTGACGCTCTGGTGCTGACGGGGAGTTCGAAACCTCTGCAAAAGGCCCTAGTGACCCCTCACCACCCTGAACTCGACGCAGTTGACTGGGAGGCGGGTAGGGGCAGAAAGGGAGGTAGGCAAATAAAAAGGCCCCCAATTTATTATTGTTAAATCTCTCGGGGGGGGGTTCATTGGTGATTTTTGGATGCCTGCGGTCAGCAGTGCTGGTGGTGGCCAGGAGACCCCGTTGTCCTGCTCACTGACCGGCTCTTTCCTTTGCTCTCCGTTGCAGCTGTCATCGTGGGCGGCGTGGTCGGGGCGCTCTTTGCTGCTTTTCTGGTCATGCTGCTCATCTACCGGATGAAGAAGAAGGACGAAGGGAGCTACACACTGGAGGAGCCAAAGCAGGCGAACGTCACATACCAAAAGCCCGACAAGCAGGAGGAGTTCTATGCATAAAAAGAGCCCAGAGTGCCTCTCTCTGTTTCACTCGATTTCTGGTTCAACTTCCCTCTGCCCCCACCCTCCCCCATCCAATCTCTCTCGCGCGCTCTCTTTCTGATGGGACTGTGAGTTGAACAAACAAACAAACACTATAATAAAAAGGAAAAAAAACGTCTTCAGTTAAAAAAATATACAAATAAAGTGTCACCGATTTAACACGAATACCGTAACCTTTCTCCAGCGGACGCAGCGTTTGCAGGGGACAGCAAGTGTGAGGAGCGAACGGGCAGCCAACTTTCAGTGCCTATGCGAACACTCCTCAGCCGAGAGCATGCTTGGGTGGTCATTTTCCTGATGATGGCTGGAGTTTCCTGGGTTTATCAAACAACACGACTGACTCTGAGATCTGAACACCTGTTACCAGAATTGGGGTAGGGGTGGGAGTTTGGGGAGAGGGAGGGGTTTCTTTCTTTTTGTGGGGTTGGGGGTTTGGTTTCTTACTGGGAATCGCTGCTCCATGGCTCTATTCGGAAAGAGGATGCGACTGTCAGATACAATGTCAAGCCTTGAAAAAGCACAATGAGATGAAACAGCGAATGCTGCGGTTTGCTCTCGGAATGAAAAATGGCCAGTGGGCTGGAGTGGAGCTTTTAGATCACCTCCTCAGAGAGTTCACATAGCTGCAGGGAGCCCCATTTTGCAGTTGTGTGGGGCTCCCTTCCTCACACCGCTTCACTTCATTGCATTGCTGTGCACAGCCAGAGACCTTAAGTGTACAGAAACCATGTTTTGTGGGCTAGCAAGGGGCTTGGTTGAAAGGGACCTTGCTTTTGCTGGGTTTTCACTGTGACGAATAAAACTCAGCTAGCGCAGTATTCCCGCTCTTTGCAAACAACCAGCGCTGATGGTTTTAAGGGAAACAGGATAATGGGGGCAGGGGCAATTGACAAGAACAACAACAAAAGGCTATAAGAGGTCTTCTGTGTTCCTTTGAATATGATAATATTTCACAGACCTCATCAAGCCGCGCTTTGCAGCCGTTCTCCTCAGATGTTGTTTGGTGATAGCTCATGTCAAATTGCAGATACCCCAGGAAATTAAGAAAATAAAGGAGACAACGGTAGGTATTCAAGGGTCACTGTCAGGTCAGCTTAGCTCCATGATGTATCATTTATTAAATCCAAGATTGATATGTTTCCATTATTTCTTCTAGTTTTTATTTTTAAAACTCCGGTCTAAACTTTACAGCTAGGACCCGATTGACTTCCAATGCATGGGAGCACAAAAGGGAAACCAACTAGAAGCAACCGTCAAACTGACTAATGTGTTTTGAATCATCTGAGGTGCGTTTAAGATGGAAAGGCCATAAGTGGCATGAGGGACTGGGCCCTTAGGGTGGAACATTCAGTGAGAAATTTGAATTGGCCGGCTTTAATCATCAAAAGGGCTGTTCATGATACAGTTCAGGAAACTGGGTTTTTAAAAAGATGATTTGGATCTGGACCATGTTCCTTTGAGGCCCTGACTTTGCTATTGTATTTAATTAAAAATAATAATAATAAAAAAGCAGTCAACATCCTTATGTCACCTATAGTCACCTTCTAGTCTGACTCTTTGAACCCTTCCAGTGGCTGACTCGTGAGTGGAGGTTTATCAGTATACTAGTGGTTATGGGCTAATGTGAGCATTTGGCTCAGGCAGTATAGAGACAGGCATTTACATGCTGATGTGCTTGGGTCAATCCCCACAGATAACCAACCCGAAGCTGTTGTGACCCATGGAACTCTCTCGTGGATCCGTGCGGGCACACGTAATTGGGAACAGGATATGCCCTGCGAGGGACCTTGGGGACTTGTCTTAGTGGGTCGCGCCGGGGACAATCTGCTCATGGAGCCAGAAAAAGTTTCAGCATATCCCAGAGAACAAAGCGACTCTGGCATGTGGATGGGAGAGAAGAATTGTGGCCAAAGCAAACATCCGGTGATACTAGCTGGTATCTGGTGAAAGGCACAAGAATGACACCCTGGGCTTGGTTCTGATGTCACACCAGTGTAACTCCACTGATGTCAGCAGAGTTATTCCTGATTGATCCCGGTGTAACTGACAGCAGAATGAGGCTGCCAGTCATATGAAAAGGCCCCTCCAGGGCTGCCAGGAGGTGAGAGCCAAATGTTTCAAGGTTGGGTGCAAATCTGGATGGAGGTTTTTTCCCCCCACCAGCTTTAGGCTGAGATTTTTCAAAAGGGACTTTGATTTTGAGTGTCTTTATTTCTAGGTACTGTATTGAGACCTTAAAGGGGGCTAATTCTCCGAGGTGGATTCTGAAAATCAAGCCCCTTAAAGGTGTCTCAATTTGGGCACCCCAAAGACTGAGGCAACCAAAAATCATTAGTCCCCTTTGAAAGAGAAGGTCCTAAGCTTTTGAAAATATATTAAAACCTCCAAGCTTTATCTTTTAAATTTTGCTTTTCTCAGCTTCCTCATTAATCTGCTCCATTCTATTTTTTCCCTTAATAGGCTGAAGTACTGTAATACAACTTTTTTTTTTTAATCCACGTTAGACCCCTCAGCTGGTATTAAGTTGTAATCCCGATACTTAAATCTTTTACAGGTTCGGAAGGGAGTACCGATCTCAAAATGGGAGTGTTAGAGCAGGCTGAAAAATCCTTCTTTGCTTTCTCTTAAAAGAATTTAAAGTACAAAAAGACAAAAATATTGTTAATTAAAACACTGATCAGAGTTGACCAATGTCTTAATTTATTGTCCAGCTACCACTCGCTTTCTGTGTCTCTCTTGGACTGGAAAGTAGATGTGATCTCAAGGAGATATTTATCTTGGTTTGTAGCACACCTTTTCTTTTAAAAAAAAATTAAAATCAGTGACCAATAGGCCCTTCCAACCGTCTCAGCTATCCAGAAGCGAAAGGGTAGATGTAAGAATCAACAGCGAGGAATAATCATTCCAGATGTGTTTGATGTCTTCTCTTCTGTGCATGGGCTGGGGGACTGGAAGTAGCTATACCATGAATGTGGCTTCCTGTATCTTCATTTGTTGGAGGAAATCATCCCAGAGCTGTCAGTAATCAAATGCTGCAAGGATTTGATCCACGGCCCATCAGAATCATAGGAAAGACTCCTCTTGATTTCAGTGGGGTTAGGATTGTGGGACCCAATTGGAAGTCAATGGGAGCTGGAGGATTAACTCCGTTGGGTGCTTTTGAAAATCCTACTATCAACACATGAAGAAATATGAGTTTCCCCGGGGGGTTTGGTGGGACTCCGGGTGTGAGCCTTGATCAAAGGGAGGGGAGGGTGGAAAGCAGGTGGTTTTCCCCAGCTGTTGATCTGGTAATGAAACAGGAAAATCAACTAGCGGTAGGTACCATGTAAGGCAGCATCTTACCACACCCTGGGCTTGTGTGGCTAGGGGACATGGTGCAAATCTTTGGTTACCTTCTCTGCTTCCCTTTCCTACCTGCTTCAAATGCTGATTGGTTTATAGGGCCTAATTCGGTGAGGTGCTGAGTGCCCTCAGCTCCAATGGGCTCGTAGTCAAGAAAGAAACCCCAAAATGGGATTTCAGTGATTCCACATCTGAAGTTCTGGCTCTGCGCCGGCTGCCTCTTATCCCATGACCTGCAGTACAGAGCATGTCTTGATGATCACCTGGAAAGCTTCAGCAAGCCCAGGACGCAGCTGCCCTCCCGTCCCAGGGGTTCTGAATTCACAAGAGCACTTCTGACTCCGCAGTCACTCCCCCTTCGAACCCGGGCGGTCACAGTCTGTCGCCCTGTTTTAACTGAACTTCTGACCCGTGGAACTTTCTTCTTCCAGGTGTCAATCAAAGGCTGGACGCTGCTGATGCATGGTGGAAGGTGCAGGTATTTGTCCTGGCTTGTGGCTTAACACCAGCTAGCCAATGGAAAGTCAGTTGGATGTAGCTTGTTTCCCAGCAGCAGCAGGATTGGCTTTTAGGGATCCCTTTTTGGGTAGCCCACATGCTAAGGTGATGGACGGTCTTTAATCGCTGAAATCAGAGCTTAGCTGACAAGGCTCCGGCCACAGAGGACTCCCTATCCCGGGCTGTATTGGCTCGGCAAGGAGGTATTTGTTCAGCTGAGGTCTCGTTCTCAAAGCCTGTATCAATAGCTCCCGTCACCTTCACCCAGAGCTGTAGGCATTTAGCACTTTGGAAGATCATGTGGCCCTAACGCAAGACACAGAAGGAGGTGATCGATTAAGTCGGAAAGTAACTTTTCCCCATAGTCACGTTCGAACCCTAAGGCCACTCTTCCAATTCTGTCCTTTTCTGCTGCCTGGCTTTGCGAGAGGTTTTCTGGGTGGTGAGCAGAGCAGAACCCGAGGTGATGCCGTGACTGCAGGCAGACGCCCTGATGTAGAGAAGGGCTCAAATCAAAACGCTGGATTCCCCCCTGAGCTTTGCAGGGGGTCCGATTCTGGATCCGCTTTGATGACTGACCCCTTGGACTTCCCCGAACCAGGGGTCCGCGCGCACAGGAATTTTGGAGCATTCAGAATCCGAATGTGCAGCTGCAGTGGTGGAACCAGGGCTCAGGTGTGCTGAAAGCCTGGCCCAAATGTCAGAGCCTTCTCTACACAAGGGCTAGCACAGCGACAGCTGGAACATTGCTGAAACCGGGTCCAATGTTTCCTAGCCTCGCTGGCCTCAGTGGTCCCGAGTCTGATTTCAGTGGCACTGGTGCTCTGCAGTGAAGCCACTTCAGATTTATACCAGTGTAAACACAAGCAGAATCTGGACCAGAGTCAATACTGGGCCCTGCCACAGGCTGCAGAGTTTCCTTGCACATTGACAGTTCCATAGGCTGCTGTTCTGTTAGAATGACAAAGGTCCCATCTATCGTAACCTGCCTTGCTCAGTTTGAGCCTTTAGCTTTTGGTATAATTCAACGGTAGCTAATCTCTAGCCCAGAATCTGATTCCCCCTCCCACACAGAGGCTTTGTTCCATTTAAAGTGGTTAGTTAAAAATGAAAAGGGATTTTTTTCCTCCTCCTATTATTATAAATGTTCCTAGTCTGCAGCGCTCCCTGGGCTTCCAGGCTTTGAAAAGCTTTTGGCACTGAAACATTTATTAGAATAACCGAGTCTTGTTAGGCACATAGCCAGCTGCTCTGCACTCCTGAGCCAATACAAATCCAGTCCAGTGTTTGGAGGGAAACGCTCGCTGGATGGAGGTCAGAACTCTTAGAAGAATATATGTATGTGTAATTTATATATGTATATACATACATATTCGTGTGTACACACAGAGAGAGCTTTAATTCAAGCCAGCTACGTCAACTAAGAGGGGGGAAACTATTGGCTGGCTTTGTAGATTTAAGTGCTAAATTCTGCAGAGACTTTGGAGCAGCTCCTCAGCCCTGGGAGTCAGTTGACATCAGCTGAGTATCAAGCCCCTTTTTCCTTTCTTG